ATAATAAACGGAAAAACATTGAATCTAATAGCGGAAAAAACACTGAGCGTAATCACTGAATAAATTTTTTACAAGGCGTGCATCAACACGTTTACATTTCAGTGTGCCAGAAAACAAAGTGATTATGCCAATAATTCCTCCATCACGTCCATGGAGGACATATTCAGATCTCATCTCTTTAAATATTCAATGCTTGGTGTTGGATATCATTATTAATAAATGTTATACCAGATTTTACAATAGAAGTCTCAGATTTTTTAATCTCTTATTAACCATCATGGAAAGCAAAATACCAATCATTCATTTGCTATCATCTTGATGAGATTCTTAATAAATACCCAACAAGATCTGCGCCGCATTTTGATTTCAATAATATAAATTGAAAGGCGACTCTGTCAAAAAATAGATCGTTTTTTTCAAATGCCAATCTGAAATTTTTTTTTTTTTTTTAAAAAATAAAAAATAAAATGCCACGAGACAAAAAAATCAGAGCAAAGAAGAAATAAAGAAACAAAATGTAAAGATGTTGCTGGGTAAGTGTTTATCATAAGAATGGTGGTTGTCACCACCACTCATTGTCACTCTAGTTTATTAAGTTAAATTAGAATCCACATTTTTCAAAAATAATAATTCATAATAATAATAAAAATTAAAATGTCTATTTCAAACAATAAAAAACAAAAAAGAAATAAGATAAAGATCGTAATGAATATTTTGGGTAAGTGTTTATCGCCACTCGTTGTCACTCTAGTTATATATAATAAAGCTATTAAAAAAAAATAATTGGTGATTATTAATCATTCTAATTAGAAATTTAGATGTTGAGAAAAACAGAAATTTCCACAAGCTTGTACTAGAAGTTCTTTGTGAAATCTATAAGTACCTCCCGACCATCAGATTTGCTATCTATGTCATAAACATATTGCAAGTTTCAATATTCAAGCTGCCACCACCACACGTTGAAGCGAATTTGAATACATTAGATTTTTCCTCACTCAGTCTTGTTCCTTTTATGGTAAAATAGAATCAACGGAAATTCATTGGCAGTTCCGGTAGGAGAAAAGCTTACATAACTATAAAGGGTTTAACTATAAATTATGATCTTTGCTTTATATTTTGAATATGATATCTTAGTATAGTACTTTCCATATATTATTTGTCCAATACAAAATAAAGAAGTTTTACTTTACATGCAACATCAATTCCGTGTGATTATTTGTTACGGCCTTTTGGCTTTGGCTGAATTTGCAAATGTTAATTTATAATATAACACTTACTCCCTAAGAAATTATTTAATTAGATGATGTCTTAATAACTTTATTTTAAAACCGATTTAACTCTGGCGGGTGATAAATATTAAAACACACGGATAATCTTTTTTATATATTTGCTAACGGATATCACTGATTGGAATGGCCCAGTCTATAAAAATTTCTCTTACACTGTATAATAATCAATCAATCGTAAACATTGAAAACAATAAATGTATTAAGTCCTTTACAAATCAGATAATAATGATAGATACATTATTTAATTTAATTTTATTTCTATAAATATATATTTAAATACATTACACAATTTTTAGATATGATATATTTTATTTTTTGCCATACATTCTATCAATATCAGCTTGATATTTTTGCTCAAGATCTTTGCGTTTAATTTTTTGTGCTGCTGTCAAAAGTCCCTATTTTTTTTTTAAAAAAAAAAAAGCACAATAATATAAATATAACGAACAATTAATAACATTAACAAATATGAATATGATATTTTTTCTTAAATTACATTTTGAGCTGTCCATTCTTCATGCACTAATGTAACTGCAGACAAAAATTCTGCAGGTTTGAAATCCGCTTTCTTTGCCTTATCAAGACAAGCTTGAAGTACCGAATTGGTTATTTCTTGATTTCGGCATAACTCTTCAAAATCTGTTTCAGCTATGTTTTTTTCTGTTGCAAGTTTTCTGATTTGTGCTTCAATAGGAAAAATTAAAGCTACAGGACGTGACTGATACGAGTCAGCACAAACACAAAGATTGGATACAAATAAGGTTGATTTGTAAACTGATTCCAATTTTTCAAGCGCGATGTATTCACCATGAGCTAATTTCACTAAATTTTTCTTTCTGTCAATAATTGATAGGCTTCCGTTCGGTTTCCACTCTCCAATATCTCCTGTTTGTAGCCATCCATCTTCTGTAAATGTTTCTTTGGTCACCTTTTCATTTTTATAATAGCCTTGTGTAACCACGGGTCCCCGGATCCAAACTTCTCCTTGTGGATTAGGAGTATTTGTAGATTTATAACCAGCATCTGGTACATCAACTAATTTTACTTCTATACAAGGTACTGGTGTTCCAACACTGCCATAAGTAAATTGTTCTGGCGCAAGAATTGTAGTCATACTAAAAACAACACAATATAGAATTATTAGAATTAATAATAATAATATTATTATTATTAATTAATTAATTAATTAATTAATTAACTGATTAAACTTACCCACAAGATTCGGTCATACCATAACCTTGCAATATTGGACATAAAGTTATACATAAAAACTCCTGTGTTTCCTTAGAAATAGGTGCACCGCCAGACAACGCGTATCTCAATCTTCCACCAGTTTGTTCTTTTATCTTATTGAATACCAAGACGTCAAAAGGTCTGGTGGGTAATCCTTTACCCATTAACCAACCTTTAGTCGTGAAAGCTAGATCAAAAATTCTTTGTAAAGTTGGACTGCTTGCATGAATTTTTGAAAGAACGCCTTTCCTAATCGATTCCCACACTGCTGGTACACCAGTCATTAAACTAGGTTTCAATTCACGGATGTCACCGAGACAATTTCTTACTGATGTATCTGTCAAAGTACGAATTGCTCCATAACCTAAAGTAACACCCCACCAAATACATACATGTTCCACAACAAATTCGAGAACATGAGCAAGTGGAAGGTATGCAAGAAGTGAATCATCATCTTGAACTAAATGTCCAAGATGTTTGTTGGTGCCACCAACTAAATATGAGAGGATTAATAGAATAAGAAAATATATCAATTTTTTTAATTTTAAAAAAAAAAAAAATCAAAAAAAAAAGAACATACTTGCTGCAACGAGATTAGCATGAGTTAGGATGACACCTTTTGGATTACCAGTAGATCCAGAAGTGTACATAATACAACATATATCTTGTGGTTGTGGTGGATTTGGATTTATTGGATGATCTTTGCCTAGCTCTTTAAGTTCATTCAATGTTAAGAGTTTAAGATCTGGATGAGCATTTGACAATTCTTGCAAGACTGTCCCCTTTGCATCACCATCATAAATTATAAATTTAAGGGTTGGACACCTTCCAGCAACCTTTTTAACCATTGGAAGTAAATCTGCGTTAGCAAACATTCCATCAACTTCTGCTTCGTTCATTGAATGAAGAAGACCTTCTTCTCCAAGGGTGTCATATGCAGTCACAATAGTCATACTTTGTGAGAAACAACCTGTAAATTAAAATGGTTTCATAAGATCGATACTTTATTACACACATATATATATATTATTTATAATTTACGGATATTAGCAATATTTACCATGAGTTACAAGCATCCAATTGGCACTAATATGATATATATAAATAGTGATAAGAAATTTAGTGTCATATATAATATAATGTGTATATATATATATATAATAATAAAATAAATAAAATTTTTCATTACCTTGTAGAAGCAAAGATTGTAATTTTAGATCCTTTATTTAAACCCAATTTTATCAGACCGGCTCCAATAGTTTTAATTTCTTGATCTATATCATTATAAGTCAACCAATTGTAACCGGATAATTGAAAATACTTCCAAGTTTTCAATTCTTTTTTTTCAACTCCTCCAACAATTTTTGTGATTTCTTTTTCTTCTTCAACTATCTTTTCAATTTTTCTATAACCAAAAGCATTCTTTCTATCACCATATTTTTTAACACTACGTTGTACCACATCATAAAGAGTTTCAACACCTTCTTCGGGTGATTCAATCAATTTATCAGGGCTTAATTGAGAACGACGAATGCGACTTTCACCTTCAACCTTAGTACCAATTTCAACACTCATATTTTTAAAGGTTTTTATTTATTATTCAATAAAGAAATAAATTTAAACAATAATCTTAATCAGTTACACGAATCCAAAAATACAAATAAATCATGCAATTATCAGGTTATCAGGTTATCACTCACAATTAAAATGTTTCTTTTAGGAACTACTGAACCAACAGCCACATGGAGATGATCCGCAGCTTTATGCGTGAAAGATGTGAAATTCAAATTAGCCAATCAGAATATGGAAATTATTATTTTTGAAATTGCATATTTACGAATTTTCATGTGTTAAATCTTGTTTATTTGCAGGTTATTGAAAAATATCGGTTTTTATTAATGTCGGCTCTTTTGGCTTCCCGAAATGTTTCGGAAAATGAACTTACACCAAGCAGAAACCTAAACCTAAACCTAAACCTAAGCATAAACTACTAACCTAAACTAGTTTCAGGTGGTTTCTGTTAGTTTCTGTTTCGGGTCTTCCCTAAACTCAGAGTTTCGGGTCACAACATTGACGTGCAACCGTGCACTTTTAAAAATTTTATTAATTGATTTTTACCAACCATAATAGTTAGTTACCCATTCTATTGAAGTTTCCAGAGTCACTAATACTGTCTGCTATGTATTTTAAGTATTAGCTGATTTTTGTTATGGTGATATTTAGTATTTCCTTCCATCTAGGTAATATTCCCCACTGAGAGTTATGGATGGATGTCTGAAATGGTTTGTATTATTTTATTAATAATTAAAACATGGCAACAAAAGGTAAGTGAACAGAAACAACCGAAGAAGTTGATGAAGTTAACAAGGCTAAATAAACGAAACAAACAAAAGTAAAATATTTACACACATATAAATTCTGACACCAAAGGTGCGTAAAGAAACGACGGTTCCTTAAAGATTTTGGCTATAAAGTATTTTACAAGCTTCTAATATCCTGTATACAATTAAAAAGGTTAATAGAGCCTTAGAATATGATGCAAAATTTGGAGTGGCTGTGGGGGCTCCTTGTTTTATTGAAATGCATCTCGGTTTAACCCGTAAAAATCTTTTATATACTCGGCGCCCTTTCATTCCTGACCTGAGGCTGAAACTATGTGGATAAAAAATTTAATCGAAAAAGAAGAACAACAAAGCCTGCACCCGGCCTACCATAGGAAAAAGAAGAGCAACAAAAAGAACAACACAACTACAACAATTCAATATTCGGAATAGTTTTGGTGCATCAGGAAAAATTATGTACATGATACATAATCTTTCCTGATGATCTCAGAGGGAAGACGATTTATAAGGAAACGAGATTTAGACAACTAGAGGATGAATTTATTAAATCTGACACCTGAGTGTAATACGTCAGATTTAGCATTTATTTTATTAAGGGACAAACATAGATCTCAAAGATCTAAAAATTGCTCCTAAAATTCATCTTAGTATTTATTATTGCTTTGGTGATGCAATCGTTTATCTATATATTATATGACATCAACTGTTTACACTAAACATAAATTGAGAATCTCACCAAAGGTTTAGTCGTAAATGGATAGAAGACTTTACACTTTTAATCTGTGCTTTCATATGAAAATAAATTTTTAAACGCGCTGTTTAAAAAAATTCAAAGATTCTTCAATTGACGTTATAAGCGAAAGTTGGTTACATTACATTCTCATTATTATTATTATTATATATTAATTTATACTCTTTGTTTTTTCATGTAGAATTTGTTAGAGCCAATCGGAAAAGGAAAAGTTTTCACCTGGAAAAGCGGTATTTAAAACAGATCAAAAAGAACCATTCACTTGCAATAAACCATAAGTTATAAAGATAAGAGTTTTTTATTAATACCTAGATTAGACCGTGTCATCTGCTGATTTATAAGATTGCTAAATTTTAATCTTCTACAAAGTTATGTTCTAGAGGGCAGTAAAAGCCATCAACTATTATTAGTTTACCAAAAATATCTATTCCTCAGGGTGATTAATTCAAAAAAAAAGTCACTTTCACCAAACGATCGAGGAATATTTTTGTCTCAGCAAAATTTTTGATTTCTATTTTCTAGCCTCTCCAAAGATAGAAGTATAAGGATACAAGGACAAAACATAATCAAAGACCTTTGTTACGAATTCTATGATTGGTATATGTTATCATGGAGAAATTAAACTTCAAATTATCAAGTTAATGATATAAGGGTGTTTGGACACAAAATTCCAATTTGAATTTCACGCATGTGAATTTAAAATTTAAAATTTATGTATACATATATGACATTAATAATTTTCACTTTCAATAGTTCTTAAATGAAAATTTTATGTAAAAGTTTTTTATAACAATTATCAAATTTTTGTGGAATGTGATAATTATGTGATTAAATTACTTTGCAAGCCTGAATTGTGAAAATTTCAATTATTATGTAGAAACTATATATACAGTACCTTGGCAAAAGTTTCGGACACACCAAATACATTAATTACGCAAAAACATACATAATAATTAAAAAATCATATCAACTTGTAGCTTATGTTCTGGAGATTCTGTATGTAAAATTTCATATTTCTACATTTTCCAGATGAAAAAATAAAAATTCGTGATAAATTTTTTTAATCATTGCTCTAAATCTTACACAATGACATTGTTCTGATTTTCAGGATAAATATTTTTTACGTGATTTTGAATATTTTTTTTTTTAGCAAATTAAAATGAATTAAGGTGGAAATTCAAAAGTCAAAATTAGCAAAACTCTTGGTTTTATAGAACTACAGTTATTCGAACTATACAAAATTATGAAGAGCGAGGTAATATGGTAAATGTAGTAAACTTATCTCAAAGTGGTCGACCAAAAAAAAATAAATAATGATCACAAAAAAGCTTTGAAAAAAATTGTTAGTGAGAATAATCATAAAATTCCAGAATATTTGTACATGAGATTAATTGAAAGCATGCCTCGTGGAATTGAGGCATGTATTGCAAGTAATGGGTGACCCACAAAATATTAAATTTAATTATTTATTAATTTTTTTTAACGTTAAGTTAAGTTTGGATGGAAAGTCTGTGTTCGGTTTATTACAAAAAGTCTTGTCAATCTTGACAAAAGAAATACAAATAAGGGAATTGTTTGCATAAAAAACTTCGACCGTTCTTATATATATGTATATTATCTTTAGTTTTACAAATATATTCAAATTTTTAATTGAATTTAATTGGGTATAATTAAGAATGATTATTATTGGTATATATATTTAAAAGGGAAAAAATAAAGAATATCATTATTTTTGATGATCTTATATTTTTAAAAATTAAAAATATGTACGTAATATATTTATTTCTAAAAAAATCATTGAAATTATTGTTTTTTGACGAGATTTATTGATCATACTAAAACAGACAGATAAACTTTATTTTTAAGTGAGTTTATTACTAAAAAAAAACTAGATAAATGTTTATTTATTTTTAGATAATTATTAAATCATTTATTATATCAAATTTTTACATCAAAAATTATCAAGGTTGTTCGTTTATCTCAATATAACAGC